CTTTGTAATCCCAGATCCTTTCTCAAGCCACCCCTTCCCCCCCAGACCTCCAGAAGCCACTCAGCTGAAAGGCATGGGGTCTCCAGACCCAACCCAGCCTTTGGTGACACACCTGTCAGAAGGCAGGGATGGGCCAAAGGGAACCACCTACCCTGCAGCTTCTCCAGAAGCATTTCTGCCCAGAAGCCCCCCCCCCNTTTAAACTGCAGTGTCTCTGTATGCTGGTTTGTGTGGTCTCCAACACAACTCTCACAACACTTCGCTGAACGTACTTGCTCTCCCAACGGGGAGCATACTAACACCTTGCATGGACCCAATGGACCTCAGGAACTCTCTCCAGAACCTGGCAGTGAACAGAACTTTGCGGTCTGAGATGATTCTCCTGGGTACTCCAGCCTCAAGTTTGCAGGAATGTAGAATTTGGATCCTTTCCAGGGTAAGCCATCTCTCATCATCAGGGTGTCTTTGATGTCATTGAGCCATGGGTCAGTTGGCAGCGCCAGTTCATTGCTGTGGTCAGCTTGTCCTGGCTGAGGGTAGGCTGTCATTTGGTCTGGCCTCTGGTGGTGACTTGAGTTGCTTTTTGGTTGCAGGGAGTGATGGGATGAATCACTTCTTCCCTCTTACTGTCATACTACAGTTTTCTCAAAAAGGCATCCACCAGCAAGTTCTTCCCTGCAGGGATGTGCTTCAGTTCGAATTTAAACCTTCTGAAATATAGTGCCCAGCAAACTTGCTTTGGAGACAGTTTCCTGGGACTTTTGAGAGCTTCGAAGTTTTTATGGTCAGTCCATACCTTGAATGGCTTGTCTGCTGCTCTAGGAAATATCTCCAGGTGAGTAGGGCCTACTGGATGGCATAGGCTTCTTTCTCCCAAATGGCTCACCTTCTTTCTGTGGCAGTGAGCTTTTTGGAGACATAAGCGCAAAGCAAGAGTTGTTCCTCTTTGTTCTTCTGCAGCAGCACTGCCACTACAACCACATCACTGGCATCTGCCTGGATTATGAATTGCTGTTCTGGGTTGGGGTGTTGTAGAATGGGTTCTTTGGCGAAGAGCCATTTTAATTTTTCAAACACTTTTTGACAGTCTATTGTCCACCCAATATGTTGACTTGGCTTTGGCTTTATCAGGGATGGCCCTGTTTTTAACAGTTCAGTCAAGGGCAGGGTGACTTCTGCAAAAGCTGGGATGAATTGCCTATAGAAGTTAGCAAATCCCAGTAAGCTTTGTAGATATTTACGGGTTACGTGAGGGTTGCCAGTCTAGCACTTTCACTTTTCATGGGCCCATCTCTATCCCCTCGCTGGAAATACGATAGTGAAGGTAATCCAGTGAGGTTTTGTGGAACTCACACTTTAATCATTTAGTGTAGAGCTTGGCCACTAGAAGTTTTTTCAGGACTTGCCACACCAGCTTTATGTGCTTTTCTAGGTTCTCAGAACTTGAAAAGGAGTTAATCCAGTGCTGCTGTGGAGTGGGTTGTTGTACGTGACTTTGGTGAAAGGTAGCAAATCTGACCAGTTGTCTTGCTGGTAATCCACATAACAACGGATGTATTGTTCCACAATTGCATTGGCTTTTCCCTGTTTGTACTCAGATGAAAAGTCGAGCTCAGTCTTTGTGTGGACTCAATGGACCTCAGGAACTCTGCAAAAGCTGTGATGAATTGCCTATAGAAGTTGGCAAATCCAAGGAAGCTTTGTAGCTGATTGCGGGCACTTCAGGATTTCCAGTCTAACACAGCTTTCACTTTCCTTGAATACATCTCTATCCCCTCGCTGGAGATGTGATAGCCAAGGCAATCAAGTGAGATTTTGTGGAATTCACACTTTGACAATTTTCCGTATAGCTTGGCAGCTAGAAGTTTTTCCAGGACCTGTCGTATCAGCTTCATGTGCTTTTCTAGGGTCTCAGAAAAAAACAATGATATCATCAAGGTAAATGAGCACCCCTTGGTATAGGTAGCACCTCATTTATGTATTGCATGAAGACTGCAAGGGCCCTTTGTAGCCCAAATGGTATAATGTTGAATTGAAAACTGCCAAGGGGGCAGTTAAAGGTGGTCTTCCAATCATCTCCCTCCCTGATACGTATGTGGTAATATGCTTCTCTCAAGTCCAGTTTGGTGAACACCTTGCCTTTAGCCAAGTGGTTCAACATGAGGGGTATGGGATAGGTGTTTTTTGTGCAAAAGTCATTTATCCCACACAAATCAATGCAGAGATGAACTCTGCTATCTTTCTTGTCTTTGAAGAGCACAAGGGCTGCTACTTCTGACTTAGCTGGTTCAATAAAGCCTTGCTTCAAATTGATGTCAATGTACTTCCTTAATTCTACCATCTCTTTAGGAGTCATGGAGTACATTTTTGGCTTTGGTAGGGTAGCCTCTGTTATGAATTCTATTGCACAATCAGTGGGCCAATGAGGGGGGAGATAGTTACAATCTTCCTCACTGAAGACCCCTGCCAGGTCCCAGTACTCTTTTGGCACTTGCTGGATGCCTGGGGGTTTTGTGTCTGTTGCAGGGGCTGCAGGCTCAGGGTTCTTTATTGGGTTCAAAAGTCCCTGGGTGGCCCTCTGGCTTCACAGGTGGTAGCGGTCCAAAGCTTATGATCAATTTCCGAATGCTGTCCTCCCACTTTATAGTGGGTGTCCACTTGTCCAACCATGCAAGCCCCAAGTTAATTGATTCATGCATCTTTGGAGCTATGATGAATCTGAGGAGTTCATAGTGGCACCCTATCTGCAACTTTACCAAGTTGATAATTAGTTTGGCCAGGGCCCCTCCAATTAGCATCCCATCTACCTGCTCAAATAGAATGGGATTGGCTAAGGGTCTTGTGTGTATGCCTAGCTGCTCCATGATAGACATGCTGATTAAGCATCGGCAATTTGTGTGTGTGCTTGTGGGATTGGGGCCGGAGCCAGGTACTCCGATGCTCTGTGCTCATGTTGACCACACCGGTAACATTGTATTGCCCCCACTGATTGGAGGGAAGGCTTCTCAGCTTGCTTCATCTGTGTTCAGTGGCCCAACGGTCTTCTAGCCAGTTTTTCTGCAGTGGGCTTCCAATGGGGGTGAAGATCGTGATCCAGAAGGACTGTGGTGGTGTACCAATTCTGGATCTGTTCTGGACCCCCCCATGCTGCATGCCTTTCTCAGTTCAGGATCTAAGGCGTTTTTGAACATGTGCACCATGAGTCTTTCTGGCCAGTCTTAGTTTTCCAGCCTCTCTCCTAAACTCCCAAACTAACTTCTTCACAGGATGGCCAGCCCGTCGCAATCCCTGTCTCTGCTCTTCTGCTTCCATGTGTTGGGCCGCATTGTTGAATCAGTTTCGCATCAGCTAGACAAACCCATCTGCATATTCTAGTCAGGAGCCCCTCCTCGTGGATCTCCGCTATCCACTCTGCAGCTTCTCCCTCATTCATTCCATCTGATATTGCCGAGATCAATTCTCTATCGGAAAGGTATTAATCCCCAAATTGATCAATGTGTGCCCACACTTGATTTAGGAAGTGCTAGCTTTCCTGGGGTCCCATCAAATATTGCATGAGATCAAGGGGGTGAGGGAGCTGGTGGAGCTGGTGGCTGGATTTGAGTGGATGCTTGGGCACACGCTTGCGGTGGTGGCCCCCCTTATTGGGCTGCTCCCTGCAACTGAGGTTGGACAGGAGCCATTGCTGCTGGGGGCTGCCCCTGAGGTGGGGCTGGAACTGATTGGGGGTTCAGTCCCTGGGGTTGCCCCAGCCCAGTTATCTGAAATAGTGCCATCTGCTGAGGAGGCGCATATGTCCATTGATATTGTGCCCATCCATGGCCTGGGAAGAAAGCCCACTCCAGTAGATATTCATGGACAAGTGTGGCAAAAAGCAAATCAGTTCGTGAATTCTCCACCAGGCTTAAAAGACCTTTAGCCCTGTAATCCCAAATAAGCAGGCCCACACTTTTCACTGAATTAGTAGTATATTTATTGTTCTTCATTTTAAATATTGTATTATTTCATAGGTTTTTTTGCACTACAAATGAAGATATGTGCAGTGTTCATAGAAATTTGTTCATGTTTTTTTCAAACTATAGTCTGCCCCCCAACAGTTTTTATCCCTTCTTAATTCACCATTGGAGGCTGGGTATGTGTGTGTGTTGTTCAGGGGTGGGTTTCAACTTTTTTTACTACCTATTCTGTGGGTGTGGCCTTTTTTGTCGGCATGGCTTGGTGGTCATGTGAACAGGTGGGCATGGCCAACTTGTAAAATGGGGTGAAACTCACTTAACAACACTTTTGCTTAGCAACCAACATTTTGAGCTCAATTGTAGTCATAAGTCAAGGACTATCTCTNAGCCGCCCTGAGTCCCCTTCGGGGAAAAGGGCGGCATATAAATGAAATAAATCCTAATCCTAAAAAAAAAGCTCAGCCCTCCCGTGCTCCGTGTTCACTGGCAGAGGGTTGCAGGAGGCCGTCACAGCCGAAAACGGAGCTCAGGAGCCGGTTTTCACTGGCAGAGCACTCAGGCCACCACAGGCACCCCCGACATGAGTGATGTCAAGCTGGCCACGCCCACCATGCCTCCTCCGGAGGACCCCCTCCCAACCCTGCAGCCCTGAATGAAATCGAGTTTGACACCCCTGAAATAGAGAGAGGGACTAATTTCAGTGCAGATGTGTAAAGAGCTGCTCCCAGGAGCTTTACTTGAGGAGTCTTTTAAAAAGGCGGAATCCCACTTTTAAAGACTTTTCCCCCAAGTAGGCTAAGAAAGAAGCCAAAACCCTAAGCCTCTAATCTCCATGTCAAGCCGATGCAAATGAAGGGGTTTTGATAAGTGTCACTCCTGATGTCAAGGCATGTGAAAGAACTTCCCTTTTCTATGCAACCGGCGTTTCGGAACGAGGCAGCCCTGTCCATGTATTATCTCAGAGATCAGCAGTCGCCCTAATCCAGCCCCTTCTTACTTCTGGCACAGCACAAACCTGCCTCTTTCTGCTCTCTCTGCCTACAGGAGATTGACGGCAAGGCCTTGCTCCTGTTGCGTAGTGACATGATGATGAAGTACATGGGCTTGAAACTGGGGCCAGCGCTGAAACTCACCTACCACATTGACAAGTTGAAACAGGGCAAGTTCTGAAAAAACAAAAAGACCCTTCCTGGCACAATCATTGGCCCTCTCAGCTCTCCACGTAAGGCACGTAAAAATACGTGTCTCCCTTCTGCAGCCACCGCGTCCACGGAATCCACCGGGACACCGTTCTTAGCCAGCAGGAGAAAGGCGACTTCCTGCAGGAGGAAGGTCCTAGGCATCCCGAATCATCGTATGAAGCTCCATGTGGACTCTCGACGTAAGGGAGAAGTTTCCTCAGCTCTCCGCTGGTGGCCTCTGGGGACCGTATCTGACAGGGGCGAGGATGCCTCCGGTGGGTGGAGCTGTGGCCCTTGCATTCGGCTCGGCCCGTCTCTTTTAATCACAGCCTCTTCTTTCACTGCTCTCTCCGAGAAGCCTCTCCGTGCAACAGGAGGACGACGATGGTGTCAAGAGGTCACTTTTCTGTGCCCTGCAGAAGAAACTGATGAGAAGAAGCCACCTGAGGAGGACATGGGGCTGCTGCACTCCAGATGATGCACTCCCTTGGGTGCAGGGGTGGGGTGGGAGTTTTGGCAGGAGCCCTAACCAGCAAGCTGTACTCTCTGCCTGCAGATCTCACTTCCTTCTTCTCACTTGGTGCTGTTAATCTCTTCCTGTACTGAGGACTCAAGCTGTTCCCCCCCACACACACACACACTGCTGGCTGATGGGCAGACAATTCTTTATATTTATTTTGACGCAACATTTATGTTGTTTACCATTCATTCCAGCACTACAGGTGAGCCCGGAGGATGGGAGGCGTGTGGTCCTATACTGAAGTGGCATAGGGCATGACAACTAAGCAACACACACACACACACACAC